GTGATAGGTGGCTTACATTTTGAGTAGGCTAGCGCAACTCTTGCTTCGCCTCATAATCGTCTAACCATTTTGTTAAGTGTTGTTGTAGAAATTTTTATTAGGCTATTCACCCCCCCTCTAGCCATTAGGACCTTTCACACTAGATGCTCTAACTCATTGCATATGCATTTAGGATCTGGTGGAACGCTAACACCCTTGAAAATGTTTGTGAAAATATGCTAACACATGTGCACAAGGTGATACACTTGGTGGTTGGCACATTTGAGCAAGGGTGAAGAAGATAGACGTGAAGAGGAGTTGATCTCGCTGGTCACAAAATGACCGGACGCTGGTCTCAGTGGAACCAGCGCGTCCGGTCAGTTGTAACAGCATAGACGCTGGCGTCGATCAAACGACCGGACGCTGGAAGGGTGCGTCCGGTCAATGCTGACGTACGCTGATGTAGGGCGTACAGAGGAGACGTTGACTGACTGGAAACGACCGGACGCTAAGGTCCAGCATCCGCCACTTTCTAACTAACGCGTTGAAACGTCCTAATGGCTAGAGGGGGGTGAATAGCCTAATAAAATTTCTACAACAACACTTAACAAAATGGTTAGACAATTATGAGGCGAAACAAGTGTTACGCTAGCCTACTCTAAATGCAAGCCACCTACCATAATTCTAATTTAAATAGTCTCTATTCACACAATAGCTATGACACTACCCTATGTTAGTGTGCTCTCAAAGGCTAACTAAAGAGCCACACCAACCAAGCAAGCAAGCTCTCACAACTAGCTCACTAAAGAGCTTGACAACTAGTTTGCGGTAATGTAAAGAGAGTGATCAAGAAAGTTATACCACCGTGTAGATGAAGGAACCAATCAATCACAAAGATGAATAACAATGAAGACCAATCACATCGTAATCAATGATGAACACAGTGATTTTTTACCGAGGTTCACTTGCTTGCCGCAAGCTAGTCCTCGTTGTGGCGATTCACTCACTTGGAGGTTCACGCGCTAATTGGCTTCACACGCCAAACCCTCAATAGGGTGCCGCACAACCAACACAAGATGAGGATCACACAAGCCACGAGCAATCCACTAGAGTACCTTTTGACGCTCCGTCGGGGAAAGGTCAAGAACCCCTCACAATCACCACGATCGGGGCCGAAGACAATCACTACCCTTCGCTCAATGATCCTCGCTCCTCCAAGCCGTCTAGGTGGCGGCAACCACCAAGAGTAACAAGTGAATCCCGCAGCGAAACACGAACACCAAATGCCTCTAGATGCAAACACTCAAGCAATGCACTTGGATCACTCCCAATCTCACAAAGATGTTTAATCTATGATGGAAATGAGTGGGAGGGCTTTGGCTAAGCCCACAAGGTTGCTATGTCAATGCAAATGGCCAAGAGAGTGAGCTTAAGCCGGCTATGGGGCTTAAATAGAAACCCTCACGAAATAAAGTCGTTGCACCCCTTCACTAGGTACAACGCGGGGTGACCGGACGCTGGCCATCAGCGTCCGGTCACGTGATTCACGCCACGTGTCCATTGCTTCAAATACTGTTCGTCAGATTTCAACGGTCATCTGTTGACCGGACGCGTGAAAGCTCTAGTTTGGTTTTGGTGAATTGATGAAACCCTAAGTGCTAACCTAGTTTATCAAGTGATCATGATATAGGTAGCACACTCCAAGTGGCGAAGCAAATGAAGATCATAACATGATGATGGTGATGCCATGGTGATGATCAAGTGCTCGGACTTGGAAAGAAGAAAGAGAAAAACAAAAGGCTCAAGGCAAAGGTATAAATTGTAGGAGCCATTTTGTTTTGGTGATCAAGACACTTAGTGAGTGTGATCACATTTAGGATCGATAGCCGTAATATTAAGAGGGGTGAAACTCGTATCGGAATGCGGTTATCAAAGTGCCACTAGATGCTCTAACTCATTGCATATGCATTTAGGATCTAATGGAGTTCTAACACCCTTGAAAATGTTTGTGAAAATATGCTAACACATGGGCACAAGGTGATACACTTGGTGGTTGGCACATTTGATCAAGGGTGGTGAAGTTTGGGTGCAAGGGTAAGAAACTCCATCGGCGGAGTGTCCGGACGCTGGTCTCGGTTGGACCGGCGCGTCCGGTCAGTGGCAGCAGAGGGCGTGCGTTTCGGTCTCATGACCGGACGCTGGGTCGCTCAGCGATCGGACGCTGGCGGGGTGCGTCCGGTCAGTGCTAACATACGCTGACGTAGGACGTACAGAGGAGACGTTGTGTGACCGGACGCTGGCTCTGTCCGGTCAAGCATGACCGGACGCGTCCGGTCGGGAAAATGGCGTTTGGAACCTTACTGGAAACGACCGGACGTTGAGCTTCAGAGTCCAGTCACTTTCTAATTGACGTGTCCGGTCAGCAGACGACCATTGAAATCTGACGAACAGTATTTGAAGCAGGGGACACGTGGCGTGAATCACGTGATCGGACGCTGAGGGCCAGCGTCCGGTCGATCGGACCGGAGCGTCCAGTCACGCTGCGTTGTGCCCAGTGAAGGGGTACAACGGCTCTATTTCATGGGGGCTTCTATTTAAGCCCCATGGCCGGCTCAAGCTCACTCCCTTGGCCATTTGCATTGACATAGCAACCTTGTGAGCTTAGCCAAAGCCCTCCCACTCATCTCCATCATTAATTCATCATCATAGTGAGATTGGGAGTGATCCAAGTGCATTGCTTGAGTGTTTGCATCTAGAGGCACTTGGTGTTCGTGTTTCGCTGCGAGATTCACTTGTTACTCTTGGTGATTGCCGCCACCTAGACGGCTTGGAGCAGCGAGGATCGTCGAGCGGAGGGTGGTGATTGTCTCCGGCTCCGATGGTGGTGATTGTGAGGGGTTCTTAACCTTTCCCCGGCGGAGCGCCAAAAGGTACTCTAGTGGATTACTCGTGGCTTGTGTGATCCTCATCTTGTGTTGGTTGTGCGGCACCCTATTGAGGGGTTGGCGTGTGAAGCCAATTAGTGCGTGAACCTCCAAGTGAGTGAATCACCACAACGAGGACTAGCTTGCCGGTAAGCAAGTGAACCTCGGTAAAAATCATTGTGTTTATCATTGATTCCGAGGTGATTGGTCTTCATTATTATCCACACTTGTGATTGATTGGTTCATACATCTACACGACGGTATAATCTTCTTGCCTACTCTTTACATTACCGCAAACTAGTTGTCAAGCTCTTTAGTGTAACTAGTTGTGAGAGCTTGTTAGTTTGGTTAGTGTGGCTCTTTAGTTAGATTTTGAGAGCACACTAACTTAGTGTAGTGATATAGCTATTGTGTGGATATACTTCATCTAAACTAGAATTGTGGTAGGTGGCTTGTATTTTGGTAGGCTAGCGCAAAACTCGCTTGGCCTCATAATTGTCTAATCCTTTTGTTAAGTGTTGTTGTAGAAATTTTATTAGGCTATTCACCCCCTTCTAGCCATTAGGATCTTTCAATCTTCCTCCTCATGAGTAACAGTGTCGAAGTCACATCTCATATTCTCAGTTTTAGTTCTACCGAGTCTAAAATCTTTGGACTCCAAAGTCTCCCGCCATAACTCTCGTTTCTGATTCACTCCAGTCCGGCTTTCATCAACTAGCACTACATCATCCGCGAAAAGCATACACCAAGAGACGTCCCCCTTGTATGTCCCTTGTAACCTCATCCATCACTAAGACAAACAAATAAGGGCTCAAAGCTAACCCTTGATGTAGTCCTATCCTAATCGGGAAGTCATCTGTGTCTCCATCACTTGTTCGAACACTAGTCACAACATTGTTGTACATGTCCTTAATGAGCCCGACGTACTTCGTTGAGACTTTTATGTTTGTTCAAAGCCCACCACATACCATTCCTTGGTATTTTATCATAAGCCTTCTCCAAGTCAATAAAAATCATGTGTAGATCCTTCTTCTTCTCCCTATACCACCGCTCCATAACTTGTCTTATTAAGAAAATGACTTCCATGGTTGACCTTCCAGGCACGAAATCAAATTGATTCATAGAGACCCGCGTTATTGCTCTCAAGCGATGCTCGATAACTCTCTCCCATAGCTTCATAGTATGGCTCATCAACTTAATTTTCCGATAATTAGTACAACTTTGAATATCTCCTTTATTCTTGTAGATCGATATTAATATACTTCTCCTCCACTCGTCAGACATCTTGTTCGATCGAAAAATATGGTTGAACAGCTTGGTTAGTCATACTATAGCTATGACCCCAAGACATCTCCACACCTCGATTAGGATATCATCCGATCTCATCGCCTTATCTCCTTTCATCCTTTTCAACGCTTCTAACCTCAAATTCTTAGATTCTCCGCACAAAGCGCCTATTGATGTCATCAAAAGAGCCATCCAACTGAAAAATTGTGTCCGTATTCTCACCATTGAACAATTTATCAAAATACTTTTGCCATCGATGTCGGATCTCATTCTCCTTCACTAGGAGATGCTCCCTTTTATCCTTAATGCACTTAACTTGATTAAAGTCCCTTGTCTTTCTCTCACGAACTCTAGCCATCCTATAAATGCACTTCTCTCCTTCCTCCGTACTCAAATGTTGATAAAAATCCTCATACGCTCTACCATTTACTACACTTACAACTCGCTTTATAGTCTTTTTACCACCTTGTACTTCTCTATATTGTCCACACGCCTGTCATGGTACAAACATCTATAGCATTCCTTATCATCATCATCGAAATATCTACAGGCCATATCAAACATCCCAATACACCCATGTCCAGACTCCATCCTGTAGAATGCTACTAGACCTTTGCTCCACTCGGCTACTGCAACTAGACCCGAAAACTAGGTGATACCATGGCTGACAAGTTCAACATTACTGCGACACAGTACAAACAAAACAAAAAGGAAGAAATGCACCATATGGGTAAACTGAAACTTCTCTATGACATAGGTATCTAGTGCTCTCCCCCAGCAAAAATAAACCATCGATCTTCGATTCTTCCTCTAAAGCCATTTGAAGAGGATGCCTCCATGGGTGGCGAAGAAGGGGGCAAAGACAAGGGACTCGACGGCCATGAGCTTGATGAGGATGTTCAGCGAGGGGCCTGAGGTGTCCTTGAGGGGATCACCGATCGTGTCACCGATGACAGCAGCCTTGTGTGGGTCTGAACCTTTCGGGCCCAAGGTTCTTGCATGCTCAGATGCACCAGCCTGTAAAACCATTAAGACAACCAAAATTAATCCACTTGAGCAAATATGGGGTTGGAAGAAACCTCACTGCTATGCTATCGTCTTCATGGTTTTACCTCAATGTATTTCTTTGCGTTGTCCCAGGCACCTCCAGTGTTGGATGCAGAGATGGCAATCTGAATGGAAACAATATAGATTATATGAATGAAACATGCAGCATGGTAAGAGATTATGACAATGGAAGTGTTGAAAAGAGTGCGAACCTGGACACCAGAAACAAGAGCACCAGCAAGAACTCCAGAGAGGGTTTCAACACCAAACAAGATCCCAACAATAAGAGGTGTGAGCATGACAAGTGCGCCAGGGGGGATCATCTCCTTGATAGATGCATCAGTAGATATCTTGACGCACATCGCATAGTCAGGCTTGGTAGTGCCCTCCATAATCCCAGGGATGGTGTTGAACTGCCTGCGGACTTCCTCGACCATCTTGAGTGCTGCGCTGCCAACACTCTTCATTGTCATCGCTGAGAACCAGTATGGAAGCATGGCACCAACAATCAGTCCAATGAAAACTTTAGGTGACAGAACATCAACAGTCGAGATTGCAGCACGGCTGACAAAAGCACCAAAGAGGGCAAGAGACACCAAGGCTGCTGAACCTATTGCAAAACCCTACATGCACAAAGAGAAAAATAAACAAATGCATTGAAGGCGTTGTGGCTAATTCTGAAGAAACACATTGCAATTAACAATGAGATTGACATTTACCTTCCCAATGGCAGCAGTAGTGTTTCCAGCAGCATCAAGAGCATCAGTTCTCTCACGGATTCTGTGGCTCATGCCAGCCATTTCAGCAATTCCTCCAGCATTGTCACTGATAGGGCCATAGGCATCAATGGCAAGGCCAGTGGCGATTGTGCTGAGCATTCCAAGAGCAGCCACAGCAACACCGTACATGGCGGCAAGGCTGAAGCTGAGGAAAATACTAAAAGCAATAGCAAAAATAGGGATAATGACGGATTTATATCCCAGAGCAAGGCCAAAGATGACATTAGTAGCAGCTCCAGTTCTGCAGGAGTCAGCAACATCCTGTACAGGACTGAAGAAGGAAATTCATGTAGTCAGATGCTTGAAACAATATATAAATTAGAGCCAGTAATAAATATGATCGAAATTGTATGCACCTGTATGCATTGCTCGTGTAATACTCCGTAACAAATCCAATAACTAGTCCTGCCCACAGACCAACTGCCACGCATAGGAATAATTGCCTACCAAATTTAGATCAAAGTGAGATCATGTATTTAAGAAAAAAAAAATGTTATTAAAATATAGGAAATCAATTGAAGAAACAAAAATGTTATTAACAATATAGGAAATCAATTGAAGAAATGGCAGTACCAGTTATACACCATCTTCTGCACACCAAAGTTGTAGATTGTGAATGTATATGGAAGCCCTAACCAACTGACAAGTGCAATGCCAACAGTCATCACAGCAGTGGAAATTATAAGCTGCTTCTTGAGAGCCGGCTCAATTTCATCTACAGCCTTGATCTCAAAGAAATCGGTTGCAAAAAGAGTGGTTATCAAGCAAGCTATGATACCCACAGAGCTAATGAGGAGTGGGTACAACATAGGGGTGAATTCATGATTGATCCCGAAAGAAGAGATTGAAGCAACGACAAGCGCAGCGCATGAAGACTCAGCATAGGAGCCAAAGAGATCTGACCCCATTCCAGCAATATCTCCAACATTGTCACCAACATTATCCGCAATGACCTGCAAGAAGCAGAAGTCAATTTTCAATGTAGCATGTTGGTGTAAAACTGTAAATATCCATAAAAATGACATTATCATGGTCAATAACGTGCCGTTACAGAGCTTCAACACGAAGGATTAAATTAACTCATGTTTAAGATGTGACTCTTCAGAAATAGAATACTTACAGCTGGGTTTCTCGGATCATCTTCAGGGATATTCCTTTCGACTTTCCCAACAAGATCAGCACCAACATCAGCAGCTTTGGTGTATATCCCACCACCAACACGACCAAAAAGAGCCATAGAAGAACCACCAAGACCATAACCAGTGATAGCCTCATAAAGGCCCTCCCAGTCATCACCATAATAAATTCCAAACAAGTTGATTGCAATATAAAGAACAAAAAGGCCACTAGCAGCAAGCAGGAAGCCCATCACAGCACCAGAGCGGAAAGCAGTAATGAATGCCTTTCCAACACCCTTCCTAGCCTCTAGAGTTGTCCTGGCATTTGCATATGTTGCAATCTTCATTCCAAGGAAACCAGAAACAAGAGAGGTGACTGCACCAAGCACAAAAGCAATGGTGCTGAAGATAGCATTGGCAAGGGCAGGCTTGCACGTCTTGCCCTTGCTGTAGTGGCATGGCTGACTCTTGGTACTGAAGCTCTCAACAGAACCAAGGAAGAGGAAGATCAGGACAGCAAAAATGCCCATGAATAGTCCCACATACTTGTATTCAGTGAAAAGGAAAGAAGTTGCTCCTGTTTAAAACAAAACAAGGCTATTTAGAACCACAAGCGTGAATACAATACAATTATACAATAAAACAAGAGAATAACCACTAGTAAGAGAAGGCCTAAAAATAACAAAAATGATGACAGAACTATCAAATACTGAAGATATCGACATAGCAGTAAAAAAAATGCAATAGGATGATAAGCAGTACTTATCCTCTTTTATTGTTGTGATGTTAACTGCAACAGGACTGGACATGTCACCCAAGAAGCATGTCAACATCAAAATAGACAGAATAATACCTAGGTAAAAAAAATGATGGACTGTAATCTTCATCTCCTCATGAGAAAGGGAAGCAAAGCAGACAGTAGCAATACTAAAGTAACTAATAGGATCCGCATATCATGGGGCAAGATTCATACAAAATATTTTTAGGTCTGCTCTGCTGGTTCACAAAATCTTCATACGTCTACTCTGCTGATTCCTGTAGAGCATAGTATGGCTCCAAAAGTGAAGCATAACCCAAGCATCACAATGCTAATCCTATTAGAAGAAACAAATCCTGACCAAAGACATGGACAGAATCCAACCAATATCACTACCAACATGAAGCAGCCAATAATGCAAGCACCCAACAGAGGACAAACTGCTTAAAATCTGCAGGCACCTTCAGACAGGCACTGTGCACCAATAATTACCTTACATGACACTGTTGAATGGACCACAAGATCTCTGGTCCATGTGCGTCCGTTCTAGGATTCCTTCCAAGTTCAGCGGATGCGGTTGAAAACAAAACTAATTCCTACCTGCTACAATAATGCAAATCCACGGAAAGTTCGTTATCTTGTTATCCTACATCGGGCAGCAAGGACCACAGGTGCAGCAAACGACGTATCTGCTGCCTGCAGTAACTTATCCTATCACCACAGGCCACAGGATGGTCACAGCAGGGACTTCTTCAGAACAGAGCACTACCATTAGTTCTATATGAACACATCCAGCCCCACCACAAATATCTCACAAAAAAAAATCTGGTATGGACAACAAAGAGTTTATTTACCGCAATTAGGACACGCACAGCTAAGAGCTATTATAAGATGTGTTGGGTAAAGCGGGAGCATCCCTAGTTTATTGTTGGATCTAACTGTGCCTGGTAGTAATATAACAGTAGATAACCCAGGCACACAGCTAGAACAAAAAAAAAACGAAATAGTGAGACATCCATGCAACAAACTAACAAACACGGGACACCAGCTGATCGAGAGCACAGTTTTAGACTGAAACTGAATTGCCTAAAGAATTAAGTAACGCGTGAAATTCTATTCACACGCCTGGCGGACTCTTGCACTGCAGCAAACTGATATGCCTCATAATCATATCGAGTAATAAGTAAACTTATTAGGTTCACGCCGCAAGCAAACAAAACAATAAAAACTGCAAAATTCCCACCAAACACCGAAGCAGTGGAGCTTATCAACCACTAAACAGCCAGGAGCACGAGATCTACGATTAAGCGCCCTCAGATCCACAGAATCCGAAAAACACGAACACCAGCACGGGGCGCTGAGTCCTCACCTTCGGAGATGGCGTTCTGGATCTCGGCGCACTTGACGACGACGTTGTGCTCGTTGAGCCCCTCCTCCTCCTCGATGAGGTACTCGCTGGCGCCGGCGCCGCTCTTCCCGGCGGAGGAGCCGTCCGCGCGGCGCGGCTCGGGGGAGATCTTCACCTTGGAGACGAGCACCCACTGCAGCACCGCGAAGGCGATGCCGACGACGGCCGCGACGGGCACCACCACCTGCGTGCCCAGCTCGGGCAGGAACGCCGACTCGGCCATTGCCCCCAGCGGCGAGATCCGGGCGCGCTAGGGCCCACTTTACTCGGAGAATTTCGTGCGGAAGTTCGTTCGAGCGCCCGGGGAATGGAGAGAGGGAGGAGAGGAGCGGATGACACGGGTAGCCGCCGTTTTATATGAGAGGCGAGGCCACTGGATTCTACGGAAGAGGAGGTGACGAGGATGAGTTTCGGTAATTTTAGTGCGGTTTGATTCGTTTTTTGTTACCGTTTTCTGGTAAATCTCGGTGCTGGTTTTTAAATTCTTTTTTTTGTTAGTACTGTATATAAAACGTGTTGCCATGATGCATGGATGTGGATAAATAACTAAACATGTTCTACAATTAGGAGTGATTGTGTTAAGGGAATCAGGCGTTTCACCTCATCTCTATCCATCTACCACGGTTTCCGGATAAAAAGTTGGGATAATAAGAAGTGGATAAACATACGGAATTATATCTCCCATTTTTTAGGCAAAAAAGCCCATGCTATCTTTTTTGTTTTCTCCAGGTTTAATTGAGGGGATCCCATTTCGATTGTCTTTGATGAGAGAAGCTACACGAATTTTGAAATTCTCGCGTTTGTTCTTCACTTCTCAGGCTTGGATATGGGTGCGGCGCGTCATACGCATAATTAGATATACAAATTCTGACTGGCCTTTAATTAACACCTTGATCCAAATTTATGTATGATCTAAACTGCCACAAATATATGACCCAGCCTAAAACGTGCAGCAAGCAAATCATAAAGTAATGGTAGTAGTATTATTAATTTGGACAGTTGCTTAGACGATGACTCATCACTTACTCATGCATGTTAGTCAATGCTGCCAAACTCTACTTGACTGAGCTCATCCATCTCGTTTCTCAAATACCCGTCCACGTTTCCCTGAAATAAACTAGCCCGTTTGTTGAGCTGATAAATCCGACTGACTGATGCTGATTTGTTGTGAGAGAAAAATATTGTTGGCTGACCGATAAGTCCTGACTGAAACCAACGAGTGAATAGGCCGTAAAAAACTACCATTCCACACACTGCCTTTTTTTCAAAAAGAAAAAAAACTACCAATGCACAGTTGCAGACAACGGATTTACGAGCTGTTATGGAACGTAGAAATTTCGCTGTTTGTTGGTACGTAATACAAGTTTGATTAAAAAAATAACTAAAAACAGTCTGAATAAGAACCACCGTCACGCTCCTTAAATTTGCCTGGGTTACAATAACAAGGCCTGTAACGCTAATTTAACAAACAGTTAGAAAAATGAAGTTAGGCCTGAGTACAAGAATCTCATGGAGTGTTCGGCTGGCATTCTTTGGCTGGCTGGTTGTCCTTTTTTTCAGCCAGAGCAGTGTTTTTCTCTCATAAAATTTCAGCATAAACAGTGATTTCAGCATGAACAGTGCCGCACTTGAGTCCAGCCGAACACTCATAGTGCCTACTTTTTTCCCCCCTTAATCAAATAACTTTGTCCTTCAAAGTAGAGCATGCATGACTGTTAGTGGCCTTTTTATCTTAAATGTCCATGTACTAATGACTTAATGTCAATGCTAGTTTGTTTGCGCATCACAAACTATCATCTCTAGAAGCACTTCACATATTTGCGCAAGCAAAAAATCATATTGTATTTATTTTCAAGATCTTGTTTGTTTTCACTTACTGTAGGCTTGAGTAACCATTATCCAACGGAGATTTTTTTATTCTTATGTTTTCTAGTTTAGACTTTTTGAGGCGCGGTGATTAAAAACATATACTCCCTCTGTTTTAAATTATAAGTCACTTTATCTTTTTTGGTTCATCTATTTTACTATATATTTAGACATATTATTTATCTAGAGGCATAATAAAATAGATATATCAAAAAAGTTAAATCAACCTATAATTTGGAATGGAGGGGTACAATTGAAACGTTTCGTGAGACTTTTTTTACTAGAAATTCGATTACAAGCGTACTACACTCTCCGTCCAAAAAAAATGCATTTCTCGTTTTTCGAAAAGCCAAATAGTTTAAACTTTGACTAAATTTATATAAAAAAGTACAAACATTTATGATACAAAGTAAATACCATTAGATTAGTTATAAAATATATTTTTATAATAAATTTATTTGGAGCCATAAATCCTAATAACATTTGCTATAAATTTCATCAAACTCGAGCTTATTCGACTGACACGTATCCCGTAATTGTATTAGGAGATGGAGGGAGTACTATTTGACTATTCCTTCGTTGCTCAGGGCTTCTCCAACTCCATACTTTTACTTATAGCACCAAGTGTCATGCAGGATTGGATAAAAAAAATAGGTGCTACGCAAGTTATAATAGCTTACAGAAGATACATATGTCTGGGGAGAGAGAACATGGTCCATGCTAAAAAAGAAGAGGAAGAGAAAATAAAGATGAGGTATGATGAAAGAAAAGTGTTTTTTAATCACAAGTAGTAATAATTTATATTATGTGAATAATAGTCTCAATATTAGATCTCATTCGCTTGGCTAAAATTAGCTGAAAAAACAAACCAAAATTGAATTGTTGTAAAAAAAATACGGTTCTAACTAAAAAAAGTCAACCAAGTCGTTTTTTAAGGCCGCTCGATGGGGTTTCACCATAGTGCCATGCACATTAAATATAGTGACACATCAAAATTTGATTGGAACGAGGAGGAGAGAGAGCACCAAATTCACCATGGTGACACCGTCTTTGGCGTTGTTTCCCAGAGAGTGAACGGAAATGAAACCAACCGAGGGTTTCATCTCGCCTTCCTCGATCCGCTGTGCAAGCCATTCTTCTTCCCGAAATCCTCTCCGCGCCATCCTTCCCGCCTCACACCATCCTCTCTCGCCACAGCGCCACCACTTCTTCCCGAAAGCGAGAGCGACCGTCCCAGCAAAGGCCCCGCCTCCCAAAGTCAAGGCGCGAGATCCACTTTGGACTTGCGAAGGATCCGCCGCCGGATCCGGTCTCGGCTCTCCGGCGTCCTCCACCACCTCTCGCGCGGCGGCGACCTCCGCCACCTCATGCGGCAGGGCGACCTCCGCCACCTCGCGGCCCATGGATCCGCCGGCCCGCGATGACTCGAGCCATGGCGCCACCCGGCAGAGAGGCAAGTCCGCAAGTCTCATGGCGGCTTGGACTCAAGAAGCTGCCTCCCACCCCCACCGCAAACTCCCCACCACCACCGCCGTCTCCCACCTCGATCAAGGCTGCTGCGCCACGGTGAGTTGGTCCCAATGGCCTCTCCCACCCCCACCACAACCGACTCCCACCCCCCATCATACGGCCAAGGCCAGACAAGCTCCTGGATCCTTTCTCACCGACTTGTCCTCCGCAAAGGAGCAAGATGGGGCTCCATTCCACCAAATTTTGCACAAGACCCAAACTCTTGGTATGATTTCGAACTATTGTTTCATCAATCGACCTTTTTGTGATTTTGATTCTTGCTATTTGCTAGTTGTTTGTGATTTTGATAGATGGTCAATCGATCCCCAAGTAGATTAGTTTCTTTTCATTGTTGTGCTCTCACAATTAGTTCACTAGTGTTTCATCTTGTTTTGTTGCTTGCATGACAAAGAAAGGAGTTCACCTGTTTGTTCGATTGGCTAGCGTGCTAGTGTTTCATTACGATGTCATTGCATGACAAGCAAGGGAGAGTTCATCTGTTTGTTCGATTGGCTAGCGTGCTAGTGTTTCATCTTCTTTTTCTGTCGCCGCATGTGCATTATCATCATGTATATATCATCTGTTATGCTTCTTTGGTAGCAAAATGTCAGTGATTTCATTAGGCGCAAGCAACCCAGAGTCATGATCATTTTAACTTGCTTTTTCGTGATATATCCGCAAGGTGGTTTTGTAAATATGATTCATCAACCAAACTATTCGCCGCAATCCTGTGGAGAGAACTTTCATTTGATTGGTCGAATTATGGCATTCAACCCAATGTCTCCACCACATCCAAAGAAGTACCTATGGAACACCTTCACCAGAAGTACCGAACAAGTCATGGAAGAAAACACTTCAGCTAACAAGAGTACATATAACAAGCTATAGAAGAAAGCAATCTATCTAACAAGACCTCAAACAAAGAAATTTGAGGTACTGGACTCATGACGAGGAAGAGCGGTTGGCTAGTTCTTGGTTGGAAATATCTAAGGACCCAATTTATGGAAATGATAAGCATCGTGATTCATTTTGGAAGGAAATCACTAATGAATTCAACAGGAAAGGGAATGGGAAGCGTACAAGGGAACTCAACCAATTGAAGGTGCAATCGGGTCACGCCTCAAGACAATAATTGGTGAGTGGAATGACTATTGGACTAAGGTTTGTCAAATGCACACAAGTGGTTACTCAGATGACTATTGGACTAAGGTTTGATCACAGATGTCCGAGGAAAGTGATGATCCTCAAGGTAGTCCAATTCGTTGTACTCATTGGATGACTTCCTTGCGAGAGGAGGAGATCATAGATGATGTTCTTCACTAAGCCAAGCTGCTCATAATAGTTTAAACTTGAGAAGGAGGTCACCACACGATTGAATCCAAGGCAAGCGCACATCAAAGTACAAGGAAGCATTGGTGAATGATTATTTCTCCGATAATCCTCTATACCCTCCGAATATTTTTAAAGGTTCCGCATGTCTAGGCCACTATTTGTGCGCATCGTTGATGCCTTGGGCCAATGGTCTCCGTATTTCACTCAGAGGGTCGATGCTCTTAATCGGCAAGGGCTCAGTCCACTACAAAAGTGTACTGCAGCTATCCGCCAACTAGCTACTGGTAGTTCTGCAGATGCACTAGATGAGTACTTGAAGATTGGGGAGACAACTGCAATGGAGTGTTTGAAGAATTTTGCCAAAGGTGTTAGAGAGGTATTTGGTGCAAGGTATCTAAGGCGTCCCCAAAGGAAGATATTAACGGCTACTAAAACTTGGTGAGAGACGAGGCTTTCTATGTTTGGCAAAGATTGATCGCATGCATGCATTGGCAATGGGAAAGATGCCCAAATGCT